TAGTTATTGTTACTAATTCTGGCATATTTACATGGTGTATATTTACACAACAATGTTCATGAATATGCATGGTCCCTATTAAACAAACCAATAAATAAATAAAATATGAATTTACATTCATTACACCAAAGGCTTAACCATCTGTTCAACCACTAACGTACTTCAGTTCCAGTTTGAAAGGTTTCAGATTACATTATGAACCAGCAGAACAAGCTGCCGTATTAAACAATCAATCTCACTACAAGCAGAGCCGTGTCTGAAATCTGTCAAATACAGCGCATTATATCAGCAGAAACTCATCGTTTGCACTGAAGAGGAGAACAACATTATTATTATTTTAAAATCAGTTAACCATTTAATCTAACAAATTAATGTTTCGATTGTCATTCTGTCGAATCAAATGAGTTAATGAATTCATCTAAACGGCTTGTGGCTTTATGATTGACAAACCCTGGGCTGATAAACACACACAGTTAACTGAGATAACCACACACTGATCTTTCCCAAGCCGGAGCAGCTCCGAACACATCAGCTCCGAACACATCAGCTCCGAACACATCAGCTCCGAACACATCAGCTCTGAACACATCAGCTCTGTGACAGCAGGCTCAGAAGCACTCTACAGTCCTGGACACTTCATCTTCACTTGTGTGGTCAGGCACAGACCGAGAGACAGCTCCATCACACACGCAGTCATGAATACACCACTACACCACATTGTAGTGTCTTTGCTCTCTTTATAGTGTTGGGAAGAACTTATTACTCGATTTGAATTGCTCCATTTAGATATTTAGATAACGCACAGGGGAACTTTATGAATCCCAAATCAAGAGGTGCTGTAACTGACCCGGGCCATCTGAGACGCCGTGTCTCCTGCAGCTCCGAGAGACAGCATCGAGAGAGCAGCAGAGATGCTGAGAGGAGAGTAGAAGACATTCACTGACGCGTGTCCCTCAGAGATCTTCTGGAAGAGACTGAGAGAGAAGCGCGCGTGCGCCGCGGACAGATGCTCCATGCCGACACACTGAACACAGACACACAGAAGAACATCGTACATGAGAACGAATAATCACTGTGAAGAGGAACACTTTGAATACTAAAGACACATGCATACAATCTCCACTTCAAATCTATAGCAAGCTATATCTGAACCCTCACAGTTGTTCAGGTTACAGTTCGTGTACTTCCTCGTTGTCTCGCGCATCGCGCTCTCAGCTCATTGGACAAACGAACAGCACAAACGACTGTGATTGTGAAACTACGCGCAGAACGGCTTGACGCGTAAATACATGACTCGAGGCAATACAACGTCGCACTTTTGCTGAAAAAGTGACTTTAGATGTTTACGTTTATCGTTGACAAAAACAAAAAGCATCGAAACGCGTCGTTAACGTTTACATGAATCATCTTAGTATTATCAGCTCCGAACACATCAGCTCTGTGACAGCAGGCTCAGAAGCACTCTACAGTCCTGGACACTTCATCTTCACTTGTGTGGTCAGGCACAGACCGAGAGACAGCTCCATCACACACGCAGTCATGAATACACCACATTAAAACATTGTAGTGTCTTTGCTCTCTTTATAGTGTTGGGAAGTACTTATTACTCGATTTGAATTGCTCCATTTAGATAAAGATTAGACGCACAGGGGAACTTTATGAATCCCAAATCAAGAGGTGCTGTAACTGACCCGGGCCATCTGAGACGCCGTGTCTCCTGCAGCTCCGAGAGACAGCATCGAGAGAGCAGCAGAGATGCTGAGAGGAGAGTAGAAGACATTCACTGACGCGTGTCCCTCAGAGATCTTCTGGAAGAGACTGAGAGAGAAGCGCGCGTGCGCCGCGGACAGATGCTCCATGCCGACACACTGAACACAGACACACAGAAGAACATCGTACATGAGAACGAATAATCACTGTGAAGAGGAACACTTTGAATACTAAAGACACATGCATACAATCTCCACTTCAAATCTATAGCAAGCTATATCTGAACCCTCACAGTTGTTCAGGTTACAGTTCGTGTACTTCCTCGTTGTCTCGCGCATCGCGCTCTCAGCTCATTGGACAAACGAACAGCACAAACGACTGTGATTGTGAAACTACGCGCAGAACGGCTTGACGCGTAAATACATGACTCGAGGCAATACAACGTCGCACTTTTGCTGAAAAAGTGACTTTAGATGTTTACGTTTATCGTTGACAAAAACAAAAAGCATCGAAACGCGTCGTTAACGTTTACATGAATCATCTTAGTATTTCAGCGTGTTGTTCTCTATAACGTATTCATTAATAACTATCAACATGCTTTAATTGTCCTGGTGATCTGAATCATTCGAGTTACTCACATGCTGTAAAACGGGTCTTCAGTTTGAGGAACTTCCGCAGTGAACTAATCGCTGGAGTGACCGAGTTTATATGAGCAGCAGACACACCCTCATGAGCGCACACACACACACACACACACAGACAGAGACAGACACACACTCACACCCTCATGAACATACACACAGAGACAGACACATACACACGCATGCACACCCTCATGAACACACACTCACACACACACACACACACACCCTCATGAACACACACACACACACACACACTCTCATGAACACACACACACATAGACAGACAGATGCACGCACACACTCACACTCATGAACACACACACACAGAGACAGACACACACTCACACACAGAGACAGACACACACACACACACACACACACACACACTCTCATGAACACACACACATAGACAGACAGATGCACGCACACACTCACACTCATGAACACACACACACAGAGACAGACACACACTCACACACACACACACACAGGGTGTGTTTTCTCAGTTGTGTAATTCCTCTTTTAGGTTTTGTAGAAGGATTACAGTTACAGTGCATGTGACCAGCTAATCAATCACTATATATCAGACAGGATTGATTGACGGACCTCGTCAGCTCTGATGAAACACACAGAAGTCTTCATCACAAAACTCAGGGAATGGACTGATGGCAGTTTCATTTTTATTAAACAAACTGTGCAACTAAAAGCCTGAGACACGTCGGTCTGCTCGAGTATAACCAGAAGGGCTTGTTTGTCTTTTGTTGTTTTTTCAGTCAAGTTAGTTTGTTTTGAACATATAGTAAAATAATAAGACCAGTTCTGAAACTGATGAACTGATGGCATTAAAACATTCAAGGTATTCAGTGTTTCATATTCCTATTGTTCATTTATAATTCTATTTCTACTGTTCATTTATAAATACATTCTTTCTTGAAAAACTTAGGTACAAAAATAACTGTTTCTAAACAGCAAATAAATATTAAAAGAAAGCATTTCCTCTGATCCACTGGGATAAACAAGAACAGGATTCCCACAGCGTTTGCTCAAATGAACTAGAATGAGAATGGGCAGCATCTATCTCCTAAAGTGCCCTAAACTTCTCGTTTTCATAAAGCAGCATCAGTCCTCAGCCCCTCATTAGAAAAAAAACCAAGTATTAAGTGCAGTATATATGAAAGAATGTTGGCATGAATGTAAAGTCTCACACAGAACGCCTGGTGAAGAGTCTCGGTCTGTTGTGTTTAGAGCTTCAGAGCAGCATGTATTTGAATTAAAAGACACCTGCAAAGAAAGTAAAGGATATTATTACAAAAGGTCAACTGAATTGGAATAAGGGTTGAAGGATGCCATCAGGATGTTCTTCACAAACACTGGAGGTGAGATCATGAAAACAGGCTCCAGCAGAGTAACAGTGAACATGATTAAACCGGATTAAACGGAGATCATTTCACATGCTGCTGCTTCATGGCAGAAGAATCATTATCAGTATCATTTGCAGAACATGACCAATTTAAATAGCAAGTATATATATATGTGTACATGTATGTGTGTGTACTGGTTTATATATCCTGATGGGGACTTAAACCTGACTACACACAGACTCATGGGGACTCGTGTCACGGTGGGGACATAAATTGTGGTCCCCACGGGTACAAAAGCTTATAAATCATACAGAATTAAGTTTTTTGAAAATCTAAAAATGCAGAAAGTCTCCTGTGAGGGGTAGGTTTAGGGGTAGGGTTGGTGTAGGGCAATAGAATATACGGTCTGTACAGTATAAAAACCATTACGCCTATGGAGAGTCCCCACAAGGATAGCTGACCAGACTCTCTCTCTGTGTGTGTGTGTGTGTGTGTGAGAGAGAGAGAGTGTGAGTGAGTGAGTGTGAGAGAGAAAGAGAGAGAGAATGAGGATATGGGTGAAAGACCAAATGAATGCCAGTCACAGCAGCGGTGGTTATTTCTGATGATTATTAATAGAGTTCTTGTATTTGTGAGCAGTGTTGTGTGTTTTGTGACTGTCAGAACAGAAAAGCGTTGTTTCTCGTGACTGTGACTCCACTGTCATTCCTGATCTACGAGAGAGTCGCTCATTTCTCTTCGGTTCGAGCGCTGGACTCAGGTTGTGTTGCTTGTTTTTCCAACATTGAGCTGTAAATGAAGTCTTAGTTCTGCTGCTTTATTTAACTGCATCTCTCTGTCCAGCTCAAGAAGTTTTAGAACAAGCAGATTATCTGTACAGCTGCGGAGAGACACAGAAACTCCACCAGCTCCTGGTGCGCCACAAAGACAGGTAAAACTAACCCGAGAGAGTGTCCAGACGGGTAAAACTAACCCGAGAGAGTGTCCAGACGGGTAAAACTAACCCGAGAGAGTGTCCAGATGGGTAAAACTAACCCGAGAGAGCGTCCAGACGGGTAAAACTAACCCGAGAGAGCGTCCAGACGGGTAAAATTAACCCGAGAGAGCGTCCAGACGGGTAAAACTAACCCGAGAGAGCGACCAGACGGGTAAAATTAACCCGAGAGAGCGTCCAGACGGGTAAAACTAACCCGAGAGAGCGACCAGACGGGTAAAATTAACCCGAGAGAGCGTCCAGACGGGTAAAACTAACCCGAGAGAGCGT